TTAGGAATGTTTCATTCTCACGGTTGGGGCAAGTTTGGATTTGATGTTTAGTTCAGAGGCTGAATTTTTATTAGGAAAGTCAAAGTTTCATCTTCAGTTACTGAATATTTTTATATTGCAACATTTCAGAGAAGAAGGATCCAGATACGCCACGAAGCATTTCCAAAATAAAAGTCAACTTCTGAGAAAAATAAACAATGATCTCAGTTTACGTCATTACCCATCACTGAGTTTAAAGACATGAAATAGGAAAAATGTGAAGATGAATAAAACAAATTAAGCCATGCTACCAGGTGAAACCTTTACTCCTGTAATGCAACATAAGAGGTGAAGCTAAAATAGGAGATAGACTCGTTATGCTAATCCAGATCATTTAAGCCTTTGTTATAATTGTGATGAAGACGACTCCACACATTAAAAATCTCAGAAATGTACAATATTGTGAAAAGTATCAATATTCAAGGCTTAAAGTGTCACACTCTAATCAGCTAATTAAAGCTACAAACTGGAGCACTTATTTATCAGACAGCACCATCTAGTGGCTGACAAATGTTTAGCACTTAAGCCGGCTTGTCACCTCCTTAATTATGGCCGACAGAAGCGCCTTGTTCGTGAACGTGCACCTCTAGCCGGCCAACATCGCTAAAACACATTGTTTTACAATTGTTATTATCCTCACGTTATGCTGTTTATTGATAAACACACACACACACACACATCGTATATATATATATATATATATATATATATATATATATACACACAAATTTTATTTTTTTACCTACTTACTGACTTACTTGTCCATAAGAAACTTTGCCAACTCTGCATCAGTCTAGGGATTAATGCAAACCCGCACACGTCTCTACGTAAGTGTATGTCTAATGCTATTGGCTAATGCTGAGCGGCGTGTAATTCTACTTGCTTGGGGATCTACGGGAGTTTAGCAAAAAGAATTTAGTATTGCCTAAGTCATATCACACATTAAAGGGTATGACCATCACTGTTTACAGATTTCTAAAAAAATATCAAACATAATTCCTGAAAGGGAGAAAACTGAATCGCTACTTTAAGTCTCACCCTTAGGCAAAAGTATGAATTACCACTGGTTTATACCGACATGCTGGTGGCTGTTTATTAATCTCCAGACTCACAGACCCTCCTTCCTGGTCGCCACTGGGGGGAACGCCAGTAAAAAAAAGAACTTTAAGCAAACAACGCAACCTTTTCACAGCCATCCCTCAACTCTGCTGCTCCCTCCACGAAGGTTAAACACATTATTACCCCGCTGCTCTCTGTGTTTGATTTGACTCCATGTGGACTGTGAGCTACGCTGCTGATATTGTATCACGGAGACCCAGAATCTGGGGTCTGATATGAAGCGGCTCCTCTGACCACCGAGCAGCTAAGACGCTCCACACTTTAGTTCCACTTTTCTTAGCACCACTGAGGGCTTTGGCAGTCCCTCAGGGTTTTCAGTGTTAATATTCAGAGCGAAATGGGGGTGGATATTTCACATTCAAGCTCTCAATCTCTGCCACATGCCTGGTATGCTAATTAGCCTACTTAATTAATCTCAGCAGAGTTCCTAGCACAAGGGCAGGTTCTGATTTGACAATATCAAAGATGGGAGTAAGTGCTGCAACCCTTAAATCACGGCAAGGTACTTTGTACAGGTTTGATTTTATAGTCTGTAGTAATATCAAAGGCTGAGGTTCTTCTAGTCCATCCACATGTCTCAAACGTTGGACAACGTTGATTAGATGTTCTGCACAAAGCCCACCGCTTTGCATCAATAAAGATGGCGCATGCTGAAGGTTTCATGTCCGTGTTACTGGGGAGAGCAGTCACAGGTACAGAGTGAGTGTAAAAAATAAAAGGAAAAGGTGTCAGAAGGAGAAATAAAAGTGAAACAGAAATAAAA